TATGTCCTTCTATGCCTTAATCCTTGCCTTATCCCCTATCCCGGCAAGAAATCACTGTGATGACATTCTCGTTTGTTCTTGCTGAACTATTAGGTATACTTTTGGAATAACTAATATAATTTTCAGGTATATTTATATTAACTATCTTCATAATTCTTAAGTTTTTTACACTTTCAAAAGTAAATAGACTAACGTAGATTGCAATTAATATATGATATTAAGTTACATGAGGGAAAAAATATTTTGCCCACCCATCTCAAAAAGTCACGAGCCGCCACTGGTTAGACTGAAGTTTGACACAATTATTAATATCTAATAACACAAACAGATACAATTTGAGATCATCTGTATAAAGAAGGGCCTTACAAGTCAGGTTCCGGACAATGTCATTAATAAAGACTAAAAATAATAGCGGACCGAGAACCTATCCTTGAGGAATCCCAGAGGTGGCATTTATATCTATTGATCGGAAACCACGATACTCCACTGCCAATTTCCTTTGAGAGAGGTATGAGGCGAAAAAGTTAACAAGTGGTTTAGTTAAGCCTAAATTAGATCATTTTGAGAATAGAATACCATGGGTCTAGCGGATCAAATGCTTTTGAGAAATCAGTATAGATTACATCTACCTGACCACTGCCATCTAATTTATTGCTAGTTGCGATATATTGCGTCAGACACATCAAATTAGTAACTGTTGATCAACCAGGTTAAACGACGTGCTGTTACGTTGCAGGCATTTATTTTAAATACATGTTGACCATTTCCTTCCATCATTATATTGACGTGTAAAACTGTACCTACATGAATTACAACGAAAAATCTTTGAGCCGTTTCAATAAAGAACTTACATTTAATACGTTTTTGTAGATAGCGTTTGTTGAAATAATACAATTTTTAAGTTAACGTAGATAGTCATATTTAGTATGCCATCTACATAGAAGGAACTGAGGAACCTAAAAATAATTTACTATGATTTGTCTTGGTCACTTCTTCCATTTTTTTCCCAGAGCTCCATAATTAACCGTCCCTCAGATATAGCGACGTCTTTTCATATTTGGACGCTCAGTACATAATAACTACTCTAATACCTTTTACTAATCAACTAATCTGTAAAGCAATCTAACATTATCAAATCGGTTCTATATTATTTCATATAATTCTGCTCTACACACAGACTCTACACGACGTTAACTTGAGTGCATTCGGAACGCATCCATCTATCACACTATTTTCATTGTTTTGACGTTTCACAGTTTGACAGTTTGGCAAAAACAAATCGTATATCCATATGGAATAATATTTTCTTTTTTTTACAAGAGGTAATTCTAATTGTAATTGAAAGTAGAATTATTCTTTATAATTGAAACATACCTGGAACCCTTAAACAAGAAGATAAATTAGCAGATAACCTGACAATGGCAGACTGGGAAGAAGTTAAACGTTTAGCAGCTGATTTTCAGAAGGTTCAGTTAAGCTCAACAACACAAAGGTATGTTTCTTACGCTCTGCACCCTTGTATAATGCATATAATTTATTATTGTTTTGTAGGTTGTCTGAAAGGAATTGTATTGAAATAGTGTCATGGCTCATCGACCACAAAATGATAGATTTAATCTTTACAAGTGACGGAAAAGAGTACCTGACGCCCTCACAATTGATAAATGATATACGAGGAGAGCTGTATGACAATGGAGGACGTATAAATTTAGTAGAACTGTCGAAATCATTAGGAGTTGATCTAGGCCATGTTAATGCTCATATTAACGACGTAGTGAAAGGACAAAAAGATATACAGTCGATATTAGGTCAATTGATCGATAGCTCATACATAACAAGAATTGCAGGAGAAATTAATGAAAAATTATCTCAGCAGGGTCAAATAAATGTCAGTGATTTAACAATACAGTATGATCTTCCCGCAGATTTTCTGCAGCAACAAGTTTTAGAAAAAAATTTAGGGAAATTGATCTTTGGAAAGCAAGATCAGAATGACCCGAGAATATTTTTCACTGAGTCGTTTATCGCTAGAAGTAAGGCAAAAATTAGGGGAGCATTAGGTGGTTTAACTAGACCCACACCAGTTGCGTCAATTCTAAATCAGGTTGATATGAGCGAAAAATTATTCTTTTCACTTTTTGAACAAACTGATGCTTATGGCTCGCTCACAGGTAGAATGGCAGGAGCTCAATATATTCCTAATGTTTATGCCAGGTCGCAAGTAAGTAAATTTTAAATATAACTTTTAAAGCTTTTTACAATGGTATAGAATGATGCAGCCTCAGTTTATGTATTTTACAGTACACTCTAATTTTGACATCCTAAATAGGAATCTGAAGTTTGTTTGAGGTTGAAGTTAAATACTGCTATCTAAAAGATTGCAATATGCTTCTATTTCTTGTCAATAAGAATTTGAACATAAACTTATGTAACTCAACCTAATCTAACCCAACCTAACTTAGGTTAACTTTTTATCTAACATAATTTTTTGTAAGTTACTGAATCATTAGAAAGCTTTGTTTTCACAGGTTAGTTTAAACTTCATGCTTTGGCAAACAAAATTCAGCTTTAATAAACTATATAACCTTCGTAGATTAATTGTTAGCTACATTGTATTGAGATAAAGTGCTTTCAAAAACTGTGATTAAATTGTCTCATCTATTATCAATGGCCCTTATGTAGGAAAACGATTTTAAGATTAAGTTCAGATATTCAAAATTATTACTGATTTTCTGACATGTCCGTGACAATCCGTAATGTTACAATTTTCTGGAAAACAGTATGTGACAGTCACAAAATAATTTTAGAGTCGAGTTTAGGAAATCAAAATTAGTTTTTTTTTGTATAAAAAAAGTATGGAAGTTTGAAGCTGCATCATTCCCATATAAAAATATAATAAAAACCATTTTATTGTAACTTTTAGAGTGAATGGGTCAACAACTTCTATAAACAAAATGGTTATTTGGAATTTGATGCCTTGACCCGTTTAGGGATATCAGATTACAAGACTTATATTAAAAAACAACTGTCTAGTGAAGAAATCCTTTTGCTGAATTCATGTGTTATTTCTAAGAACATACTGGAACGTGTAGAAGCAGACATCGACGAATGTATCTCAAGTAAATCGTATGTTGACCTTCAAAGCAACCTACCTTCAGTTTTTAATGAAAAAGATGTACAAGCAATACTAAACTCTGTTTTAACAGGACAGAAACAACAGCAAACAATTGTTATTGATAGTTTTATTATTAGTAAATCGTTTATAGATAATTTATCTAAAACTTGTGATGAACTAGTGAAGGAAAAAACCAAAAATATTGTTGAATCTGGTAAATACCAGCAATATCAGATAAGTCTGCAGGCTTCGCAGGCTAAGGTACAGAAATTTGAGGATGTGGAAGAGAAGGTGGACAAACGGGAAGAACGCAGGAAGAAGGCAGCTGGTGGAAAGAGTGGTGGTGGCACCCAAGGTAGAGAAACAAAAACTAAGTCGACTAAGAAACAAAGTAAACTACTTAGTAGAAATTCTGAAGAGGACACTGAAATTGTAGAAAGGAAGGCATCGTTAGAAATTGTCAGTGCCGATGACGTTAAAGGTATTATACAGGATAGTTTAGAAGAAGAAGGTTTGGACGATCTGATTGAACCTCTCACGCAATACTTATTGCCCAAATTAAACGAGCAGGGATTAGAAATTGCAGCTAATATTTATGCTACAACGGTAGCTGACAGGACTGCTAACCGAAGGCAGACCCACAATGAACTACAAAATAAATTAAACGCTTTGATTGGAGATGTCCGGTTATTCGAAAAGGGAATTAAACTCTTACCTAATGATTTACAAACCCTATTAGTAAAATATTTACTAAAAACTTTGTGTACGGACATTGTAACGGAAATACTAAATTATGTGGCAGCAGAACAGAATTCAAGTCTTGTTACGGATAGCTTTAACAACGACCAGAGGCTTAAATTTGTTAATGACTTACCTGCGGAGTTTAAAGTTCCGCTGTTGCCACTAGTGAAAAGTTTAACAGGTCAGAATATTGATGATTTTATGACTGCTGTAGAGGAAGGCCTAAGCGCCTGCAGTATGATTATTAAAAAGATTGACAAGAAGAAGGATCGTACAATTGTTTTGAACCATAAGCATCAACTGCTGGAACAGTTGAATAAATGCGAGGATTTGGCATTGGTGCTGCATCTTGCCACTTTGGTGATTTTCACTACTGCCACTCAGTGTATGCTTCATGCCAGCGGCAGGCATGTTTCTGGATTGTTGTCGTTTCTGAAACAATATTTGGCTGAAGATCAGCATGCAGAATTTACCTCCTATCATGGTAAAAACATTTTTTTTATACGTAACTGTAACTGAGATTAAAACTGTTTTAAACAATTTTGAAAGGTTTGGAAACAGATTTATGCTACTAATTCAAATTGATTTTTAAAATATTTCTAAATTCTTGATGGTCTAAAGGTGGTCTGAAGTACATTCTGATAATGAAGAGGACAATTCTTTAAATTTTTTTGGGGGAAAAAGTTCTTATGAAATTGTGTCGTAAATTTTTGTGTAATATCTCATATTTCAATAATGTTTGATGCTGACTAATGAAACTTAATGGTAAAAATTCGTTAAATGCACATCATGCAAAAAGTACTTGATGAAATGATATGGAAATGTAGGCACCAGGTAGCCCATAGTCTTTCAGTGCACTATTTTTTCATTTTTTCACTGCATATCCTATCCTCAGGGGACAAATGAATTTGGTTTACCTGTATAATTTATCAAATACTGTCGGGGTTGCGAAGATACTAGAAGATACTGTACTGTATTAAATTTTGATACCATTGAGTATTTTGAAAATTCGATGAGTACTTACATTCAATTTCTAGTTATTGTATTGTGGTGCTAGGGTATTTTTTTGTGCTTTCAACTGTTTTTGAGATATTAACTGTTGAAAATTACTTTACTTTATTTCGCAGTCTTAATGTATAAAAAACGAATTAAATTAGAAAAGTGTCTATTCATTCTTTTTTCTTCAAATTGATTGTATCTAAAGTTAATTTGAAGAATGTATCAAACATAAGAATTGTCAAATTTCACTTAAATATTGAATACATCAATATGTAAAAATGAATATTCGATCTTAATTCAATGCAAAAAAATAAAAAGTAAATAAAATTAAAATATTTTTCAAAATTTTCCAAAATTTTTTAGATTTTCGGATACACTCAAGGTAGTAAATAGTAAATACAAGGTAATATTTACATATTTTTATTATAGCCGTTTTACATTGACAATTTATTGATCAATTAATTCATGAAGTCGCTTCATCAAGAAATTGGAAAAGTGTAAAGCACCAAATCTGCTGTCAAATAACTTCATGAATTTATTCATCAAGTTCTTGACGAATTAGAGCATGTTCTAATTTTCGTCAATTTCTTCGTGAAGTTCGGAAGTACCAACCCAACAGATTTCCAGCCTCAGATCAGTAATGAGGTTATGTTATTAGAATATGTAAATAATTGTGTGATTAGATCCATTACCCAGAAATTTGATTTGTGAAAGAGGTCACCTAAATAACAATTCCAATTGTTTAAGTATATTTGTTATTAAGTCGCTCGGTTTTCAATTTGAATCTATATGCTTAANACACACAAACAGCACACAAATAAAACACTAAAAACACTTTTGCTACGGAGCACAAGAAATATGATTTCACTCACAAACTCTCAAATAATAGCGCGGAACACACATATAGCCCGAAAGAAATAAAATTGCACTTATAACAGTTATAACCTCACAAATAACGAAACGAAACTGACCACGCCAGGCCGGCACGTGCGCCGCCGCAAAAAACACAAGACACAAGTCATATGAGGGAGAACGAAGGGAGTAATAAATGTATTGTTGTCCTGCCGCCCAATGTGCGAAGGAGATGCCTTTGTTTTTCATTTTGTCCTTCATAAATATATAACTGTTAATCCATAATGCATAAAGAAATTATTCAATTTTCAAAACCCCCTATAAAATGTGTTGCACTGATTCCCTTGACAGGCAATGATTTATTACTTTGCATCGAATACGATCGTACTTATAGAATCATCATTTTCACATATAGGTACTGTATTTCCTACCTGGATACTTTCATACCTGTTGACTGTTTACATTCTACTCTGATTACTTGTCTTTATATTGTAACAGTATCAAATTTTATATTAAGCGATGAAAGGAGATTTACACCGGAAATCAGAAAAATTGCTATTTTCTTATAATATACAAAAAATCATTAAGTAAAAGTGAAAAATGTTCGTAACCACATAAATTTGTGCTTAGGGATTCTTAATCTGTGTAATTCCATTCAAATTACGTTAGTTTTAATAAAGTTCCAGAGGCTAAATACATTTTGCCGTAAACTTAAAATTCTTACAATTTTTTAAATAACTACATGGGTCGTATTTCGTAATTAGATCCATTACCCAGAAATTTGATTTGTGAAAGAGGTCACCTAAATAACAAATCCAATTGTTTAAGTATATTTGTTATTAAGTCGCTCGGTTTTCAATTTGAATCTATATGCTTAATTTTTTAATCGATCTTTTATTTGAAAAAAATAAATTTACCATTCCATTGAAAAGTTTTGAGTTCCTACTTGAAAATGGGCACAATTATTAATTTAATACCCTATAATTATGCTATGCAATAGTTTATAATGTAGAGCGCCGGGCGCTCAACATTTTATTCAAAAAATAGGTTCTCAGCGCTAGGCCGAGCTTCGCAGGTGCGGAATGCATACCTGGTTTATTGAATTTTTTCCGGCCAAACCGTAGGTCGGACAAAGAAAGTACAAAGTATCTTTTTTGGAAAAACCTTCCCCTACAAGGTGGTACTCTTTATTTTTCTCCATCTTAGACCAAAATATTAAAGAATTTTTAAAATCAAAATGTGTCCAAATTTTTTTGGACTAGGAAATCGATAGACCAATTAATTTTTTCTTATATTAATCTGCATAATTTGAAGTACTTATAAAGAAAAATCAGCCATATTGCTAGTTACTTATTTCTGCGGCCTCCACCTAGACTATATTTGATAATAATATGTTTCTACCTTAAATGATATTTGACATTTGTCTCCATATTGATTGAATTGTTTTTATCACATATGTGACAATCTTGTTGGGACGCTCAAATTAATTCGTTATTAATATTTTATATATTTTTCTCATAAAATTTTCGCAAAAATTGAGACGAAAATCAAATTACATATTATATATTGTTAGATTTAGAAAAGTATTATGTCAAACAGATTTAAAAAGAATTATCAGCTCATAAAAAAACATTGACATGTATTTTGCCTGAAAAAACTAATAATTAATGCTCATTTGTAGTATTTGAGGATCCATTAATGATAATCTTTTGTTTTTAAAAATAGAAACAAAACTGGCAGTCTTAGTGTGCGGTGTTTTTTAAAAGACAGGGTGTCTTTTAAAAAACATACACACAAAAAATAGTTATATAACATTACTTAAGTAGTTATTTTCATGAAAAATGCATTACTCTAAGTATATTTATCACCCTCCACTTATAGAAAACAATTAATAATTTATTTGAAAAAATAATCAATTTCTGTTTTCATTTTTTTAAATTTTAAATGTAATTATTTATTTATGACATTCTTTCAGTATAGCAGAAATCCCTAATTAAATAAAAAAAGGAATTTTTTGTTGCAAATAGAGTTTTAAATACAATGGGATCATTAAAAATTTTAAAAAAATATTGACTTCGACATTTTGATTGTGACCCTTTCTAATATTTAATATCTGTAGGAATCAGCTTGTATACTCTGATACCAAATATGTAGGTATGCTAAATAAATAACTCCATTTATAGACAAACTAGTCGGTAATAATTAACTTGAACTTAAAATAAAAAATCATAATGTATTGAAATAGTTAAATAATGTTGCAAAAATCTCCTATAGTTTCTAATACCTCTATAATAATATATAATAAATTTATTTATTTCTGCTTTTTAAGAATTGCCTTTTCAAGTGACTTTTTTTAAAAACAGAATTATTTATATATTTATATTATTAATAAATATTAAATTATATAAAAAACACAAAAATTTAGAGAAAGTGAAATTTTATAATGACACTATCTAATAGATAGATGATGTTCATATATGTATAGATATTTAATAGACCCTAAGAATGCACTTTCGGGAATAATCACTTCCGTAAAATTGCACATTCCAAATCAGTTTTTTTAACTGAAAAACGAAAAAAAACATTCTCTACCTCTTGGCCTGGCCTGTAGAAATGTTTATTTTTTATTATTACACATTATAGTACAAATTATCCAAATTGGTATGGGAGGTATAGAAAATGTCCAATTAATATATTTCGGAACAAATGCTAATAAAATTTTCAAAAGGTTGAAATTTAAAAAATAATTCAGCGTACTACTGCACTTTTGAAGAGGTCCCCTTTATAACTTTTAATTAATAATAATTTCAGAAAATGTCTTGAATTAAGTTAAATTTATAGCTTTAAAGTAGGAAAGCTAATAATAAACAATGTATAATTTAAAAATATTTTTTTTTAGATTTTGTTACCCTAATGTTAAGTGCAGGATCAGAAGCCGAAAATGCAAAGGAAAAGCTAAAGGAAAAGATGGCCACAATAAAAAGCATAGCAAATGATTTTAAGAAGCCTGGAGCAGAGAAGTCATAATATTTGGGATTAATAATTGGTACTCTTTTTATTTGAAGTATATCCTGTACAAAATTTCGCCATAGTCACATAACTGTTTATGTGCTAGCAATTTTTATAAAGAATCAATCTTGGCTAATACAAATGATGTCAGTTAGGAGTAACGGTGAAAGATGTAAATGTATATAACTTGTTTGTATATATTTTACAAAGTAGTTTTTTTGTTTTATAAATATAGGAGCTTCTAATTTAAGTTTAGTTTTACCTGGCTAAGTGTAAATAATGATTTTACTTATATTAATAAATATTCGAGTAATTTATAATTGTGGTTTTATATATTTTTTTTGTATGCTAACCAATAGTTAAGTTGAAAAAGTGAATGAGACCTTCATCATTTTTGAATTTTGCAGTATCGATACTGTTAATTTCAAAATTTTGAATTTTTAACTGACTCGTGGAACCCCCAGATAGGTTGTGGGGAACCCCAGGGTTCCGCGGAACACAGTTTGAATACCGCTGCTCTAGAGATTGGAAAAAAGGTGATTTGCGGGATTGTTTAAGGAAAAATCGATTCAAGAACAAAAAGGCTTTATTGTACTTGTTTTTAGGTAGGTTAAAAAATATTAATAATTGTTGATTAGTGAACATAAAAAAAAGTATTGAAAAAAGACGAAAAATTTTGCATTAAATTGTTAATAACAATGAAGATCGTTAATCAGTCAAAAAAAGCCTATGATGTTCTCTGAAGTATGTTATTGTGAACCTCTACAAAATTTCAATTTGATTCGTTGAAAACTTTTTGTGTTATGTTTCCGGCTTGTTAAAAAAATTGGTTTCTCGAAAAATGCTTTTAAAGTTTTAGTTACCATTCAGCATTATAAATTCTTCTATACTGATATTTTCTTCTTCTTTTCGGCTTGATCTGAGACTAAATCTGGCCTCTATAATAAATTTGGGCAGCATCTAGGAGCTTAATTTGGATCTTCACCACAATATTGTAAATACCTGGGTGGATGGGGTGCAAGAACTGAGATCTAGACTGAAAGTAATGTGCTCGCAAAATTTTAACAGTTTCAAATTATTAAATTGGATTTATTGTTACAATATGTATGTATAACAAACGGGTATTTGATTATTGGTTTGCAGAGGCTTTATACAATGCAAAATGATAATAATTCAAAAAGTACTACATGTACTGGCCAGGTTCTGTTCCTGGTTAATGAACAGCAAGGCATCAGGCTCGACGTTTGATCATATAGGTTTGGACATTTGGCCTCTTCACAGTTCACCAGTTTTTAGATTGGACTGGACTTGTAGACTGACGTGATATCTTAGTTTTATTTCGTTGCTTCCTAGTCTGACTTTCGTAATACATATTTGGAAAACTTTTCAGTTTTCAAAATTTGAATTTGAATTTTTGCTGCTTGTCGTCGGCGGCTGCTTTGTCGACAGCATCAGCATCGGCATCTGGTGGTGCCATCTACTATGGCTTTAGTATTAGCGGGCGGCTAGAAACTTCTTAGCGATTTTCTGCAAACATTTTGGAAAGTTAGTTAAAAATATTATTTTCAGCGCCACGCCTTCTGCGTCTTATGGAAGATAGTTTGAGTCCCCTTGGTCTTTGGAGGAAAACAAAATCATGCAGTTTCATTGTTTTTCCTTTACAGAGGGAGAATGTTATTTTTGTATCTTATTTCTAGGCAACAAATGATAATTTTGAATTTTAATGTTTTTAAATCGTTTTAAAGCATCTGTTGCGTTGTTTTGATTGGATAGGTACGTATTTTGTGTTGCCTAATATACCAGCTTTTATATTTCCTAATTTTCATTGGTTGCTCTAATACAGTGGTCTTCAAACTTTTACGACTTGCGAAACCCGACCAACATTTTGACACACCTAAAAAAAATTTCGAACACATTTTTTACTGATTATATAATATATTTATAAATACTAATTTTAAATAAGAGTATAATTTTTTTTGAATTTTGTAGTATTGTTTTCAAAATTTTGAATTTTTTATTGAGTCGCGGAACCACCAGAGATTGTGGAGAGCCCCAGGGTTCCGCGGAACACTGTTTGAATACCGCTGCTCTAATAAGTACATATAAAAACGCAATATTAAGAATATAAATACATGTACCATTTCTAAAAAGTTATAATTTGTCTCATAATTTATTAAACATTCGGTACTACTTATATAATTTCCATCAAGACCAATATAAAAAAGTATTGTTTATGGTGATGTTTTCTGAACAAACTGAATGACAAATTAATTTGGATTTTTTTTGCTGATTCAATTATAGCAGGTAAAAAATACCTAATTTAATGCATTCTCTGAATGTTATACATAACGATTGGGGTAACATAATTTTTAATAAAACATGCAATTAATATTACTTTTGCTTCTATAGCACAAAAGAATAACGAAATTTTTGCACCTTAATTAATTCTAAAAACAGCAAAGGTTAATTTTTATTATTATATCAATTTATTAATTTATATTATAACTATTATATATTAATTTAATACATCTCCCACATCGCTTCTGATTGTCTAAAAGTTATTTTAAAAGTATTTTGTATTGCCTATAGTACCAGTTCTTATATATTTTTTATTGGTAACCACATGTACGTATTTTTGTCTATGGTATCTCCTAATAAGCTTTGAGCTGCTTTAGGTGTGCCGGTTGGAGTACCAGAGTTAGACCAAGCAAATTAAATTTTTTACTCGAAAAAAGTTCTATCCGCGAGATTATTGTAAAATTGTTTAAAGGAACATAATACAAGACATCTCTCATCTCTTGAGTCAAAAACTTTTATTAGCTAACTTTTCTATTTAAACAAATAAGTGAGGAAAATTTTAGCGAAAAGTGACTCACAGGCAGCTTGTAGGGAGTAAAATTATCGGTTAATAAACAAAAAAGTTATTGCAAAAAAAAACAAGAAAATTGCCCATGTCTTAATTTATTTATAACTATCGCATTTATTGTTAAAATTTTATAAAACCTATGACAAGTTGAGGGTTTTGTCATATTTTAAAAGTGTGCCAAAAGTGGACACTGTAGGTGCAATAGTTTTCGCACAACTCTATTTGTTTATAACGGAGGCTCCAAAAGTTATGAACTTTAAACCTTTGTACAGGCGTTAATTTTCAACCAAACATGATTCTGAAAGCGTCATTGTAATCTTAAAGACGTAATTAAGCGATCTATTAAAAAATATCACCGTTTTTTTGACATTAACATTCTCAAATTGTGTATTAAAAAACCGTGAGTTTTTCGCTTATAAACAATTTGAATAAAATTGTTGCTATTTATGCTACCTCACCGAAAATAAATACAATGGATAGCTGGCAAAAAAATACAATTTAAAAAAAGCACCCTCTACGACCAGCAGGAGCCAATATAAGAATTTTTTTTTTAAATCGTAGCGCAATTGTTTATAAATATTAAGACTTGAATAAAATAAATACCACTTGTATTTATACATGTACAGCATAACAAATTTTATGTAAATCGGACGAAGCGTTTTATTTATATTTATAATTTGGAAAAACTAGCCCTTTTATACCAAATCTGACGCCTAGTTGCGGCTAAATAAACTACCTAACTCTTATAAGTAATTTAAATACCTTACCTGACGATTTATGAAAATGTTACCTGTGATAAGAAAATTATTTTCATAATATGACATATACAGGGTGATTCAGAACTTATCCAAAAAAAAAAAAATTCTGGATGTACAAGGAACCCTTATAAATACAATTTTGTAAAGAAAAAATCAAAAAGGGCAGTTCGAAAATGATTTAATAATACACTTCTGCACGGCACTGGAAACTGTGGTGGTGTGATAAAAATAAAAAATGGACAAAAATTTTAGCAAGGCAAGAAATAAATAGAATTTTATAGCACCTATTTTATATAACAAATTCAACTGCTTTTGCCTTTATTAATTAATAAAATTAATTTGTGTTTTTAAATAATAAAATCATTTAACATACCCGCTGTTACAACAACAATTATTCAAAATTTCATCCACCAACGTGTAAACACATTTGGTTCCGTCTTACTAAGTTTATACGAACTAAGACAAATGTTGTCTTGCTTCACCATAACACAAATGATTTACCATAATACAAATGTTGTCTTGCTTCACCATAAATTAAAACGATATCCATCAACTCCGAATTGCTATACACGCAAACCATTTTTGACACTAACTACGAAAAAACTATTGTTAACACCACAGATAACAGGTAAACACTATCGCAACGACGACTGCAAAATGGATTTCAGTATTCGGAGTCGCTGAGGCCACGTGGCTCTCCTCGCGTATTGCGAATGACGCTAGAGACTACAGTTGTCCAGCTATGTAGTGGTTGAATGTACTATAACTTCAATTACTTTTTTCTCGGAAACTATAAGGATTTTACAAAACATTTTTTACGATATTGACTCCATTTCTCATGCCGCATCTATTCCCAAATTTTTTTGAATAAGTTGTGAATCACCCTATATAAATAATACATATACCTATTTTATATAATAATTACATTTTTTTTATTGGTTGGTGAAAGATATGAAAATCATTACGAATGAAAAATAAATTTTAATTTAAAAAACCTTGTCCCTATCAAAATGCAAAACAGATATATACAATTAATTATATAGGTAACATAAATATCAGTGTTATTATTGTTTTTCCAAGTTATTAAAATAAATTGATAATTTATTACTAGATATTATTTAATTAGTTTAAAGAAATGTTTAATTATTGGATAAGTTAAATTTAGTTACAAAAGTTTAACGACCTACATAGATAGAAGTACCTAAAGAAACTGCAGTAATTGTATAAATAAATTTAAATGTTTGTGATAATAATAATGCTCTCAAATATACAGGGTGCCAGCACACGCAACGAAGGTTAAATTCGTGTATTGAAAATAATGGTATGCATTTCGAGCATTTATAAACAACTTTACTTTTGTTAAAATGTAATTGTTCTTTCGTTACATAATATCAAACTCTGTTTGTGGTTATTTTCAAGATTGTTATTGACTCACTCATTTGCATGGGTTTAAGTAGGTTCTTTTATAAACGCATTTTGTTTTAATAATTAAATGTCTTTTCGGTAGCGTCACGTTCCTCAATTCATTACCATTATTTATTTTTTGCTCACAAATTTGAGAATAACTTGATAACAAAAAAAGATATCGAACCCTTTCTGGCGTTAAAATGTGGTTATTTTTATGCTCTTCAAACTAACCTATAAAAAGTGTTATCCTGCTATTTCACTTTTTTAAGAAAACGTGAAACAATCTAAACTTGGATAAATAGCGCCAATAAATAAACAACACATTCGTTAGAAATTTGAAACTTATATATTCATTATTCATCAATTTCTTGTGCTGAATTCATTTATGTAAAGAAAAATATAGCATTGCATTTAAAATTTTTGAGAAAAATCCATAAAACCGCATTCTTTTGAAATAATGCCATCTATAGGTTTCCATATTGAGACATGACATTCACCACGAGATAAAGCATGAAAAGACCTTTCCAATGGGGTAGAACACTATGGGCTTTTGATGAGCCAATCCTTAAAAAAAATGCATTTTTCTGAACAGACATTATGTCAATAACAAAAGTTATGCGCAATGAACCCGGCTATCCATATTTGTACTATTTAATATACCTGAATAGGAAACATTTCTGAAAAAATTGAACTCTATGTTTTGGTATGTATATTACGCTCTCTAGCGGCCGAGCTACGAACTATTTCCAGAGGTTTCTCTTGGTCGATTTATTGATCAAAAATTTTTTGCCGAAGTTCTAGAGCTTATACTTTCCCTAATATTGTACCTCGCCGACCTTAGTGGGATACCCTGTATATTATATAAATTGTTTGACTTAATCATTTAATTATTTCATCTCACTTTTATTTTTTATTTGATAAAGTTGGTGTTGATAAGTCAATAATTTCTTGTATAAAAATGAAAAGAAAATATTATGGCTGAGATATTTTCTAATAACAATTTTATCCTAGTAGTGAATAATTCAAATTAGACAAATATTGTACAAAAATAATAATCTGTGGCATTTTTTCCAAACATTTGTTATTATTATTTTGGATAAATTTATAATTGAGATAAACTTTGTTATAACTTTAAATTACTTTCTGGAGAAAAACAAAAATGATTACGAGTTTTATTTTAGTTGTACGTGGGATTATTAATTTATAGATGCACTTATTTTATTAAAAAAAAAACTTCCTTTCAGGTCAATCATTGTATGTTTTACTTATTTGAATCATATTTGCCGATTTATTGCCTTTTTGTTAGTCTAGTACAGAGCCTTCATAAATGATTACAAGCCACTTGACCAGTAATTTTGTTTGGAAAAATAATTTTATTTTCTTCATGTTGGTAATTAAATGTTGGTAAAATTAAGTTATTAAAACAATAAGATCAAAATTACATTAAAAAACAACATTCCTTTTCACCGGTTGTGATTGATGTAATTTTTCACGAGATTCATTCAACCCATCAGCGATCGCATTATATTTAGCGTAGACGTAATGGTTTGCCATTGTTCATTGTAAACGAATCATTAACATTGATGACGCCAAGATTTAGAAATTTTTTCGTTATCACTACTAGCCCTGCAATATTTGTTCCTCTAACTCGGCGGTCACGTGCCTTGTAAACATTTATGAAGGCTTATTGAATTAAATAAGTATTTTTACCTCAAGATTGATACCACACCCTATAGTAGTAGTTTTTTAAGTTCACTCGAAAATCAGGCATTTTTCGAAGTACGTAAGAGAACAGTCATTTGTAGAAAATTTAAAGACGAATCCGAAAATATCATGGTTGTTACCGTAAAGCAGTGGCGTACTATTTTATTTAGAAAAATATTTCACCGATACCCTGTATCTTTATCACTGGAGAATGTAAATTTTAGAAAAAACCCTCAGATTTTGGACAATGTTTACATAAATAGGTACATGTGCCCAATTTCAAATTATTTCACTTACTATAGTTTTTAAATTATTTAAAAAAATTAAAATATTTTTTGAAGTTTAAATACTATAATACTAATATACTTTTCAACGAAGCGTCCTAGATAAAAACTTTATAGGAAAGACTCCCCTTAAAATTCACCAACTAATACGAGATTTCTTGTTTGGTCACCATTTGTGAATCACCCTGTATATGTATATTTATGATTTTAAGGGTAAAATTTACTTTTCTATTAATTCTTATAATTAGGAACATGCCTACTTACCTTATATTATTCGAAGTCCGTCTACATTAATGTAAATAAAGGTATGTATGAAATATTAGAAATCGATTCCTATATTTATAATATATTATAATAGCTTTGTTCGAGTTCCTATATGTATAACCCGATTCCGAACCGTTCTAATCGTGCGTAGTCTGAAATATACGTTGGAGTTTTCTTCGACCGGTTCAGAATTTCGCAGATATTTCTTTTGAACCATCCAAAGTAGTTCTTGCACCCAAGCACCAATTAATTAGAACCGTATTATTTGACGCATGCCTAGTTATTATTTTCAAAGAATTTTTTCATTTCGTGTTTTTCTTTTACGAAATGTATTCGAGTATTTTTGCCTTATATTTTCTAGCTCCACTTCTGAAGAAATCGATGGAATTTTGGGGATTATTTCCTTAGAATTGCAAAGTAGTCATGTCAAAAATAAATACTTTTTTAAGATACGGTTGGTCTGTTTATCGATGAGGAATTTAAAGATATTTTTTGTGGCACGCAAAAAAAATGATTTTAAGGATAAAGTAAAGAACAAACAGATGAAAACTCTGATGAAATAGTTCTGAATCGAATTTTGTCTATTGCGTATCTAGTTCTTCGCAGATTCTAGACTGTTCAGAAATATGGAACCCGAACGAAGCTAATTTTACTGAAATAAAAATTTGAAACTTATATTTATGGAAATATTAGTACTTCTTTTATTTACTTGGATTTAAATTTAGGGGAATGAGGGTAAGTAAAATCAGACTCCTTTTTTCCTTTTTATTAACAATACAGTCCATCAATAAAATATATTTGCATTGATATGTATAAGTTAACAAGGTTTAAAAAATGTAATCACCTCTCGATGTAATAACAATAACTAAGAGGCTACATTTCTTATAATAATAAACAACTATATTTGTACCAATATTTAAATTCGTCAAAATTTAACATGTTACTTACCCGTCATAAAAAAATAATTAATAAAACGAATTTAAATATTTACAATAGCCAAACTTGAACATTTATTGTCACATATCAACATATTTTTAATTGACATCGTAAAAAAATACTTAAGGGAACATATATAAAATTACAAAATAAATGCAATATTAACATTACAAAATTACAAAATTAAATAAAACCGTCTCTACATACAAACAAACTAGTATAGCTAGCAGAATAGCTAAAAGCAAAAAAACTACTACATATCCTGCAACTAAGTGTGTATTTAATTTAAATTACGCTACAAATCTTCTTCTTCCTCCTTGTCCACCGTCTCTGTAAAAATATAAATAAGTACGTTAGTTTTTGCTTTCTAGTGATATTCTGCTTGCCACACCTTCAAATATTTCATTTGTGCCTTACTGAAGTTCTTGGATACAAAAATTAATTCCAAATTTTCAAAAGATGACATTTAAGACATATAAAAAAATTGTAAGGCTGAAAATTTAGAAATAACATGCGTAATAATCAAAATAAAAAAAAATATCAGAGGCTGTGAAAACATCACCCTTCCTTGTCTTTTTTAAATTGCACATCTTTAATTATTATTTTGAAATAGTCGAATAATCAAATATTTGTCAAGTTCAAACAGATGCACTTAATTCGTGAGCTCATTTTTCGCAAATAAAACATTAAACACATGTTCACTTAGTGAACTGTTATGTTCCCATACTTCTATTTTTTTTCATCACTCTTTCCTCGAAAATATTTATTTAATATGTATACCCCACTCATAGAGACCTTCCGTCTGATGAGTTTAGACAACTAAATGTGGGCTTGTTTTTAAATATTCAATATTAAATATATATGTATAGGCATATTTTTTCTGTTAATTAACTGTATTAATTGTACTTTGCGCTTCTATTTTTTTGTTCTTTGTTTTTATTTCTTTGTATTTTTATATGTATCAATATTCTGTAACTTTTAACAATTTAAATTGTACAAATAATATTTGGGAATTTGGAAAACGTATAAATTATTTTTCTGCGACTGCAACGGGATAATCTGCGTAGTTCAATCTTCTTTCTGGCCTACAAGTTGCATCCTTGTCCAGCATCGCAAAAAGACAATACGAGAAAATATATTGATTGTAGAACCAAGGAAGTTTTAAGTAATTTAATCCGAAAATTACTTCCACATGCACGCATTCGCTAGATCTAGCTCCCACTGAATTTTGTCATTTCCAGAGTTGAAAAAATCTTTATGGTCCAGTCGGTATCTGTTTCGGGATGAATGTTTTATATAATTAGGCTAATTTTTGTTGGAAATAGTTCTAAATATTATGTAAAATAATAATTGCGATATGCGCCCGCTGAAAAAGTTGTGCATAATTGTTAGCGCAAGAAAATGTAAAAAAAAATTAAAAAAGTAACATTTTTCTCCCTTCTTTCATGTATAACTCAGAGAATATTGACATTACAAGACAAAATAGTCAAAGGAAAAAAAGTTTTGTTTTGAGATTTTCTTCAATATAAAGTCCACGATTTTGATCAGTTTTTATAGAAATAATAATAGCATATACTCGCTCATAATCTTTCAGAAACTAAATATAAATACTCCAATTTAATCATTTTTAACTGAGTAGAAACTTAATTTTCCGTTTTGTCCATCTTTCCATCTTCCCCTAATTATAAGGTGTTCTCAAGTGAAACGAAGGCGAATTGACCGAAATCTTTCAAACTTCAGACTGAATGAATTTCTAGACCAGAACGACCAAACCAACGCGTTCCTTGTATAAACACCCACTTTTGCTTTTATTGATTTTTATTTCAGTCACTAGAATGCAGTTTGTATTGCCGCCAGAACTTTGCATGACGAATAATAACATGAAATATGAAGTAAACTGCTCGTGATACACCAGCGACAGGCATCAATTCTTTATGAAATGGCTTAGCCCACTCACAATCTTATTTTCGTTTCTGTGATTCACCGAAGTTTGCTACAATGTGCAATTTACGAGATATTCTGTAACAGTAACTAATTATATTTACACAATATTTCATATTTCTTTATATAACGATATATAAAATTTCCAAAGCAGATTATTTTCTATGGGAATATTTGAAGAATAAGGTATACCAGACGCCCCCTGCAGATTTAAAAAATAGTAATCGAAATGAGTGTGGAGCTCTTAATGCTGAATTATTAAAAAGTTACCTCTCGTGAACCTTTGTTGTTTGAGTGTTACATTAAATCAAATGGACAACATTGTGTCAAGAGAGTCATAAATACCGTTTTTGTAAAATAAAATATCTTTTTGTATTTCATTTAATAAAACATATGTAAATCATTTTTTACTACTTTAAAATTTAAATCTAAAATAATACAATGTTTTTCATAATTTTCTATAATAGCAACTTTGGAAACATTTAAAATTCCATTTCACCTCTGTTTTGAAGTCTAAATACAAAGTGTAATACTTTACGAAAAGGGGAATTTTTTGTAGAATTCAAATTATTCATTTAAAATAAAAAGTTATGGTCGGGTCGTTTCAGGTTAAACCGGAAGTGGACATTTTAATATTAGTCTCTATTTAAAGAAGTTTAGGTGTATATCAGACAAAACAGGGCAAATACTTTCTAAATGTATTTAAAATACAAATTACAAAATACTAGTACGAAAGTATTTTAAAATCCTTAAAAACAAACATATTTTAAATATAAATTAGTTAGTATTTAAAATAATATTTTAAGTATGTTGAATATTAGATACATTGAAAATATTCATTAACAGTATTTAAAGTATTTTTTAGCACGTGTTGTAGGTACTAGTCGCAATTCATAACAGGCAAAAAGTATTTGTATTTGGTAGGTATTTTGGGTATTTTAAATACTTAAGTATTATATTAAGTATTTAAATTACATTTAGAAGATTATAAATACTTTTTTAAAATACAAAATAGGTACTTTATTAAAGTATTTGAAATACAAAATATTTTTGGGGTTATAACAAAAGTATTTTAATTACAAAATACTATTTTATATTTAAAATACTATACTAGCTCTGATATCAGATGCCCCAAATTGCAAATTTATAGTTTTTTACTTAATGGATTGGAACAATACAACTGAGGCAGCTGGTATATCGACATGAAAAAACAAATTGCGTTTGACTGAAACCTGATTAATAAAAAAAACATATAACATGAAGATGTGAGCGATTAGTAGCTTTAAATGGAGATATATTCTTGCTTGGGCTTCGAAATGAGAATAAAGACAATATGATTAGTTCATCCATCACATTATTAAATATTTTGTAAAAAAAACTGTATATTCAATACAGAGCGCCATTACATTGATTCAAACGCAAGACAGGCAGACAACTTGCTTATTCCATTTTATATGATACAGTAATAATTCTTTTATTTTTTTATTATTAAAACTCAACTCGTTTTACTTATACCAAGTATATATCAATATCACTTAGTACCAATAGTATTCACATCAATCACTTTGCAGCAATCTACATGATAATAGCTATAAACATTTTTAAGTCATCAGCAATGAAGGTCCTAAATTTGATCCCTGGGGGACTCCTAAATAAGCTATGTTCAGTAGATCAGTATCCGCAATGCCTGACATTTCTTAATAAGTACATCATGATCAACATTGTCAAATGTTTTTTGGGAGTTGATATTATTAAGCTCATTACATAAACTTTTAGAATTTGTTTGATTTAGTTTAATTCTTTTAATGTAACGTAAAATACTTACTACCTTTATAATTATTTGTTAGAGTCCGCTAAAATGGTAGCGTAGCAGATTTCGCTTGGCCTTGACGACCGGCGAGGCGTTGGCATAATATTGTAGACTGTGCGTTTAGGCTTTTGTATAAATGAGATCACCCTAGAAATCACCCTAGAAATGCTTAAGGAAGTATTATTCAGTCAGTTGGTTACTGTATCAATGGATAGACCGAGCTTGATCTGTATATCTTTTCCCAATTAAAATAGTTTGTTTGAACGCGGTGGTGTCTTTTACAACCCTATTCATCTTATATATCAGAAGTGGGATATCTGCCCTAAATTCACCCACAGTATAGTGACGTTTGTGTTAGCAGTACATCATGTCTGTAAGGGAAACTACAACGCCGTCTCTTTCCCTGCGCCCGGGTCTTTCGACGTCAACAACAGTGTGTCAGTCAGTTACACAAGCGGAAAAGGCGTTAAGCGTAGCTAAACGCCAACGGGCCAGTTCTACAAGTTCGACGTCGACTTCGACCTCGAGTTCTTCAACTAGCGACAGGAAGCAGCAGAAAAGACGAAGGACAAAAAGGCAAAGACATTCAAATCATCATAGGCGTTTTCCTTCCCACCCAAGTTATAGTGATGAAAAGTTAATACCTACGTTTGATCCGCAGAGTGCAGAACAATCGATAGATTTCTGGGTTCGCAAAGTTGATGAGTTAGCGGAATCCTATAGATGGGACGATTTAACGGTGATAAAATTAGTCGCAAATAGACTGAAGGGTATGGCTAGAAGGTGGTACGATTCGCAAGATCACCTGACCATAAGTTGGAGAAAAATGAAGAAGTTGCTAATTAAACAATTTACAAAACCGCTGCCGTTTGCTAAATTGCTTCGAGAAGCTGCATTGTACGAAACACACGGAGGTCAAGATTTAAGTGAATATTGTTTTAATAAATTAGATA